ATATACAGTATAAACTATAGTATTAAAATCAAGCAGACTGTTAGGTTAATTTTATTTCATGGCTATAAATAAACACCTTCATCATCAAACACATGCATTCTCCATTAAACCCTTAACCTGCTGAAACCGTAACTGATAAGCCAATGTGGCGCCACCAGTAAAGAGCCCGAATATCATTGCAATCTGACCAGGCTCTTTCCTATTGGCTAACCAAATATTCATATTGATTTAAGCAGATTAAGGATTTTAAATAAATGAGCCGTGTCATGACAAAACCAACATAATGGGTTTGCGACCAGCATGGATCCAAACCAGCCTGCTCATCCGCGCAGTCTGATCAGGATCCATGCTGTTCGCTTACAAACTCTATTGCAAGTAGAGAAACTGATAGCGAACAGCATGGATCCTGATCAGACTGCGCGGATGCGCAGGCTAGTCTGGATCCATGCTGGTCGCAAACCCATTTTATTGGTTTTGTTGTGACGCGGTTCAAATGTACAAACAATCTCAAACGACTTCCAAAGTCCAAAATAAACAATGGTTTGCTTCAATAAATGCAGGACTTCATTATGCTGTAGGCGAGGTAACAAAATAATGAAATCGAGCTACCAACAGTTTAAAGCCAGATCTGTAAGCGTAGAAATTCAAGAAGGCTTGATTCTATACTAGTAACACAGGCAAGGTCAGTTTATAATTGCTTGTAGTATAATAGCTAATATTGATATTAAACCCATAAATTTTGTATGATCTGCATAATTTTAAGAGAATTTCAATCTTTTGTTTTCATTTCACCTTTTTGCTAAGGAGTGCATATTCAAGATGCATTTGAGAATTTGTTTGTACATGATAAAAACTGTTATTTTCATATCAAAGACATGTCGAAATATAACTGAAATGAACAAAAACAAAGATGGCAGCAGATGGGCATACCTGAAATTCTGAATACATGGTATTAGTAGAAGAAATTGTGACGTCATAGCAGCACAAAGTGACCAAATCGACCCACAAAAATATCAATACAAGAGACATTGCTTTATTATTACTTTTTTTTTATTTTGTGTTAATTTTTCTGCCTGGAACTTTTAAGTGTCTGTGAAACTGACATGGTACTTGGTTTGGTCCTCTTTTCTTTACACTCCCTCTCTCCCTGCCTCCCTCCCTCCTTCCCCCAAATCCCCATCCCCACCCCCAAGAGGTCAAATGGCTCATTCATTATTGATATTTTTGTGATGCAATTTCTTTTTTACAAATTGTCAATGTATTAATATAAAATAATAATAAAAAAAAGAATTAATGAAAAAAAAAATATAATGAAAAACTCCCATTCCATTAATGTAACACTTTTTTCGTCATTCCAAAACTGAGTTTACCCTAATGTCGTGTTTAATTGAGAACTGGACCCTCTCCTCAAACTTAAGGTTGTACTTTGCCAGGGCCTCAACTTGTGCCTTCATATAGTCCTGTATGTTACACAATACACATTACACATTAATCCACATATTTTTATACATATTTATTCATAATGAAAACACAGGTAAACAAACATTGTAAATGTGCAAACACAACCAATCATTAAAATGTACCTGAAATAAATAATAAAATAATTATATCTTGTAAATCAAACATCTGAAAATTAAGTGATTGATTAAAATACAAGTAAAACATAAAAAATAAAAAAAAAATAAAAAATGCAACAAAACTTAACAAACAAAATCAGCTTAAATGAAACTAAATAAACAGGGGAAAAAAATGTATATAAATCAAACAGAATTTTGCACATACTGTATTGCTTTCCTAAATAAACCAGCATAATTCAAATGATTATGAAAAGTGCTTAGCTAAATAAAATACACGCTGCAACTATCTAAGGTGCAACCCTTTCCTTCCACATTCCAACCATTCATCATACAGCCAAATATGTTATTAACCCGAACTCAAAATAAAACAAATTCCATTCGTGCTCTTAAAATATCCTTATCCCAAGAATTGCTCTTAAAATAACACTATTTTCAAGAATTTTCAATTCTAAATCTGCTGAATTTCTTCTTAATACCATTTCCGGAACTGTCCATTATCAATTCTGGGGACGTTAATATGAAATTTTGATAAGGCCAGCCAACAGTAGTCTGACTGTATGGATAGGCTGCCCTAACACTGTTTACATAATGTTCAAGCATTCTACGAGGTAAAGATGGCTACTTTTGCGGTCAAGTGTACATAAAAGTGTAACATCTTTTACTTTTCAAAAATAATATTAAATGCAAGGGTTTACAAATGCATAACCTTTAAGCATGTTAGAAGAAAACGTGTTCACAAAACACAAATGTCCCATATCATATCTGTTAACAAATAAACTGAAGCAATATTGCATGTACCTGAATTTTGAAAATTGGACCTTAGAGACAAAGGTCATTAAAGGTAAATGTCAGAAGTCAATAAAACTGAATGTAATTCTATATATAGGTTTATAATATAATGGGGGTAAAGCTGGGACAAAGGTAAAATAAAAATTTCAAACAGAACTTGGGGGAAGGAGGTAAAATCTCTCAGACTTTTCATGCATATACTATGATAATATTTTAGGAATTCTGCAATCGGTATTAAAACAAAGCAAACTATAAAAAAACTGTGCTTTTTTCCTCCAATCAAATTTTACTAAATAACTACTTCTCAACAAAATTTGCTTCTGTGAAATTATTTAAAGACAATTTTATCATATTTATTAAATTGTAATTTGAAAGTGCTTATCAAAACATCAATTCAATTTATTGTATGGTTTAAAGCTGAAATTTAAAGAAACCCAAATAATCAGATAAACATTTTTTTCATTTCATTACCTCAACCCTTTACCGGTTGATAAGTGATAAGTCTTTGCCACCAGTATAGAGCCAGACCCAACCTGCACATCCATGTAGTCTGACCAAGCTCTATACTGTAGGCACATGTAGCTCAATAATTTATGAACTTTGATATCAAAAATCCCTGCAACTTTAAATTGTCTGTTCCAAATTCAAAAGCTTGGCTATTCCAATACACAAATACACAATTTAGAAGGTTAAAGGTTATATTGTTATACTTATGTTGAAAAGCACATTTTTTTTCTCTGGCAATTAACCATTAAATAGCACACTAGCAAACTGAAATCAACAAAATCAAACGGGCAACATACCACTGTGGGTGAAAAACACATCATGCTTCATCTACAGGCAAAACAAAACATACAGGCATAAAAAACAAAATATAACAAAATGTTGAGAAACATAAGAAAATAAAATATTTATTTTAAAATTTGTTTAAAGCAGTCTGTTCACAACTGACATAAGAAGAAAATAATTTCATCAACATTAAAAAAAACAACATGGATATGATCATACTATAAGAATAATAATTAACATTAACTAGCAATAGTGATTTATAATCAAGACTAAAAAAGACTTAAATACATGTATCTGAATCTGATGCCATTTTGATAAGGATTTTTATTATGATTTCCAGTCAGAAATTAAATTTTCTAAATGATGTCTAAAATGTGATCAAACTACTAAAATCAAATTATTCAACTTCCAAAATGTATCAAATAAATGGTTTGTACTTAACATTATCCATGAATATTCACAATACTAATAATAAATCACATTTTTTTTTAGCAAAAATTTATTGATTATGCACTATTTTCCCCTTCATCTTCTTCTCTAAAGATACTTGGTGGTTCCTTCAAACAAAACCTGAAAATTTCTAAATAAATTGTCCATAACTGCTGAAATATAAAAAAAATCTATATATATAATTGTTTTGGGGGAAGTTGAATCAGTCCCCAGGGTACCTCTCCAAACGTTATTTCAATACAAACTAGGTATACATTCCACAATATGGAACAATTATAATTGACAAATTTTTATTAGTTCAAAATCCAACTTGAAACAAAAATGGATCACATAGATCATGTTTAAAATTATTAATCACAAGTCCTTGACCAGCATCATAATAACAGAAAAATTGTGTAAATAGTAATGTTTATAAATTTAAAATCACTCCAAACTGCTTAATATTACACCTGAAAAAGAGCAGAAAAATTACATATTATACAAAATGGTTGAATAGAGTTTCTTCCCTTGTTTCTTTTTCGCCTATTAAAAAAAACAACAACAACAACAATAACAATAAAAACCCACTGTGTACACAAGATGTCCACATTTGCCCACAATACACTCACACAAACACAAACTTCAAAAAAAGGAAATAAAAAAAAATTAAGTTTTTTCATCTCTTAACAAAAACAAAAAAAAAATCACTGAAAATTCCTTCTAAGAAGAAAACAGTCACAACTCCATTTTTTTACTCAATCTCCATGAAAAAAGAGAACAAAAACAATTATATGAAGATCAATTTCACGAAAGTGGACAAAAACAAAGTGTTTAAAGAACAAAGCTTCAAAATACAAGAAAAAATGATGAAATATAAAAGTAAATTAAACAACACAATTAGTAAGAGAGCACCATCGCAATATGTGAAGGCGAAGTTATACTGGGGCGGAAATAAATGTGATCTACGTTACAGTTAACTTAAACCAGTCATCTATAAAAATAAAGATTATACGATCATAAAATACTGACTCACATCCCGAACTAAATTCTTCATTTCTTTTTTATACTTGGATTTTTGGCATTTTTAAAACATTTTTGAAATAATTTGATGAAAAAAAATTTAAAACCAAAACCAAATGCATATTTTTATATAAATTATACTTATTGATATTTACCAGCATTTATATTTCTAAACAGCTTTCCTTTTCTTGTTGTATAATTTCTAACCTGTCAGAATCCAGAAATTTCAAAATTTATATACCAGTAAGGAAAAACGCTCAAAATACATAATATGGTTGTCATAAGTACAAGATTTCCTTTCTTTGTCATATATTTCTATGATCAGTCAGTATTTTATGAGAAAGAAATTTAAAACAGCTAGTTTGTAATGACTGAGAGGAGCCTGTATATGTGTACCGCATCTTGATATACGCCCTGGTAAATACTCGTCCATAACTCATGCTTTGAGTGATATAATGGTAATGGTCGAGAAATCACATCTACATATTCCTAAAATAACGTTGGTTTAAAACAATAACGTTTGTTTACAACAAAAACGTTTATAGTGTTACTTTATAACAATAAAGTTGATTAATAACAATAATGTCGGTATAAAACAATGAGGTTGTTTAATAACAATGACATTGTTTTATAACGATACTTTTTGTTTTATAACAATAATGTAATAACAAATAACATTGGTCTAATATAATAATGTTGATTAATAACAATAACGTTAGTTTAAAACAATGATGCTGATTTGTAACAATAAAGTTGCTTTATAACAATAACGTTGATAACAATTCAGCAACTATAAAAACATCAGTTTTTTTCTTAAGGTAAGTATCACAATAATTGAGTCCCTCGTAATATTGTTGCTAAAAAAATATCCACACAATATAGACAATTTTAAGGCAAATTTTCAAATCAAAACACACTTTGATCTGCAATTACTGAACATGCATTTTTTTAACTTTTTAAACTGGTTTTGATTTTCAAATTATCACAGTATATCATTTTGAAGAATTTCTTATCAATAGGTAACTTAATCACATAAAACAAATATAAATGATGTGAAACTAACCTGAACCTTTGACCTTACAGCACCCATGGCAGGTATCTGAGAGAAATAACCTAAAAAGAGACAATTTTATGTACATACAAGAACATTGGTGGCACTGATAGATCCTTGCACTTAACGGCCAAAGACCTTTGTTCAAAATTAAGTTTAAAGTTATAATAACCAACATTTTAAGCCGAATTGCCTTTAACTATATATGTAACTTCATTACCTGGCACCAGCACAGTATAGGTCATATGGTGACTTTCCAGCTTTAACTGGTGGAGGAAGACCTCAGGTGCTCTGCCATGCATTATTTCAGGCATAAAAAGGACACCCGAGTAGAACCACCAACGTTCCATAAGGTAGCTGAAAAGCTTCCTCACATGAAATAATCCAAAGTTACAGTCTGGATTCGAACCCACAGCAGTGAGGGGCAAGTGGTTTGTAGTCAAAGACCTTAACCACTCGGCCACAGACACCTCTTAAATATACATAATCATCATCTTTGTAGAGAAAACAGATAACATTAAGTAACTTTAAGATAAGATAAGATTACCTTTATTAGCACAGGCCATCCACCGTATAGCTGATACTGGATTAGCTGTGGGTCCAACAGCATAGGTAAACACGCGGTACATCTGAAATATTATAATTTTCTCTTCTCTTTGATTCATATCTCTATACAAATTATACAATTCTCCACTTATAATGATATCGCTTTTATATAACAATATATCACAAATAACGATGCTGATGCCAAGGTTCCAACTCTTGTTTCAAACCTCTATACAAATCATACAGTAAGCAATACTTATAAAATATAGTTTATTGATGTTGCTGCGACTCGTTTACAAATTGGTTGCCTCTCAATAGCAATATCCACATATAATATAAATTTGCTGTTTCCCTGAATATCGTTATCAGTGGAGTTTACAATATTCTTTACTTATATATACATGTAATTACTATTCAGTTTGCATTGTGAAAACAAAATATCTTGACATTCTAGATTGTCACGATAGTCTTCACTACATATCCACCCATAAAGGGAACAGTATCAAAGTGGTTGAGGTGTCATCTTCTATACCCTAAGATCATGGGTTCAAGCTCTACCAAGTTTGCAACCATGTTTCCTACAACAGCAGCAATGCTGGTTTATTGAAGTATTCAAAATGGTAAATCTAGTCTACTTGACCAAAATTTTACATTTTCACCACTGAGGAATTAATAGTGACTTTGCATAGATTATATAAAATCACCATATTTATCTTTCACTATTTAATGATAAATTAGTTCACATTCAGCACAGCTGCTTCCCTTCACATAATCATCATCTCTATTCTCTATGCCCAGAACTTAAAAACATAAACCACAGGTTTGCCTTTTCTACAGAAGAAAAACTGTATTCATTTATGAGGCTTTGTGCAACTTCAAATGAGCCGTGTCATGACAAAACAAACATAATGCGTTTGCGACCAGCATGTATCCAGACCAGCCTGCGCTTACACCCAGTCTGATCAAGATCCATGCTGTTCGCTTACAAACCCTATAACAAGTAGAGATACTGCGCAGGCTGGTCTGGATCCATGCTGGTTGCAAACCCATTATGTTGATTTTGTCGTGACGCGGCTCAAATGTCTTCGATAGTTTACCTGGTGGTCTTTAGGATTGTACTTTTTGAACACATCCTCAGCTAAATCAGACCCGCCATCAGTGAGCAGCATGATCATTCTGTTACAGTCAGCGCCTCGTCTACCATTTGTCTGATTCTTTAACTGTTATATCATATATAGACGATATTGATCAAGATGAAAGAAATCATATTATACGAGCCTCTGGCAAGCGTGGTCAGTAAGTTTAATAAATTAAGTAGCCGAAGCTAAACAAATGTAATATTCTATTTATGACATATCCAAAATAACAACATTTCATAATACAAAACTTTTTCCGGTTTTCATTGATGCTTATAGGGTAATGTTAACATTTATTGTGTCTTTCATGCTAAGTTTGTACAATGTTAATGACGTCATGTCAAAATATATGCACAGCTTAGCAATACTGTTTTGATGTTGTCGCAAAAATATGTATGTAATAAACATTTAAAATATAAATTTTAATAAAATGTATAAATTTCATTAATACGGATTTATTTTAGTTTGATTGTGTTGAAAGCTATAAGCTTATTAAAACACTCTCAAATCTGTTCCTGGAACCAACCAGTACTAAGCAATGAAAGTTTCTTGCTCAGAGGATCATTAGTATGCACTGGACCGGGTTTATGATTGTGTAACAGCAACTGTCTCAAAACATGTCTATTAATGATTAATCTAATAAATGGCCATGTTTATTTTGTCAGTCTGTAAAGTTATATTCATTGTAGCTTAAAAGAAGAGTTTTCAGTATAAATTAAGACAATATTATTGAACATGAAGGAAAACTTACCTTGACAAACTGTTCAAATGCAAAAGTCAGTCCAGCTTTATAGTTTGCCATTCCCCCTGCCTCAATTCCATTCACTTCTTCTATCAGTTTCTGCAAAATGAAAAAATTGCATGCATTTATATCATTAACCCTGAAATTGCATAATTAAAGACTCAAGTCTTACCGCGCAGTCTGATCAGGATCCATGCTGTTGCTATCAGTTTCTGTACTTGTAATAGGGTTTGTAAGCGAACAGCATGGATCCTGATCAGACTGCGCGGATGCTGGTCGCAAATGCACTATGTTGGTTTTGTTATGGCGCGGCTCAAATTATTTCAAGTAAAAGCCAGAAACTGAGTAAAACAATCTTTTGTTTGCTAGTTGGATAGTAACTTCAGATGAAAGACTCTGAATGTCACTGTTGGTATTCGAACCCACAGCAATGAGGTGGTAAAAAGTCCAAGCCAGCTACCATAATCATGGTGCCAGGAGGGCATCTTTAATATCACTCTTGAAAGCTATAACTTGAAAATCAATCACAATTTTTTTCAGTTTCTTTAGCAATAGCTAATGAATACACTGTACTGAATATAAAGCAGTATTATAAAAACATACCTTTTTATTTCTGTAGTTAGCTTGTACAAAAGTGCCATTAAAACACCTGGATACATTGTGAGCTTCTTTACTAAACTGTAATAAAAGCAATAAATAAAAAAAACTGACTAAAAAAAATAAATCATCAAATGTTTGTTAAAAAAAATTGATTTAAATAATTTACAAATATACTTTTATACATACATATGCAAATATTTATATGTTATACAGATGAGAAAATAAGGAAATCATCTATAAACAATAAATCCAACCGTTTATTTGTATAAAATCAATACTTTATTAATTTCTAAGGAATATGTATGTTCGTTTTTTTCTTGTAGTTTTTTTTTCTTTTGCCATTTGCCTTTGACCGTTGATTTTTTAACATAATCTTCTGTTTTTATGCTTCATGATTATTGTTTCATTATCTGTATTTTCCTATTGTACAATGCCATTGAATAAGATATACCTAGTAGGTCAAAAAAGACTTTAAGAAAATAAACAAGTTGTAAGTACACTAAGTCTCTAAGAAATTGTAAAATTGCTTTGAAAAGGGTATCAATGGGTCAACGTTTTCTTTTTATGGCTGCAATGCAACTTTTTATTACAAATTTATAAGTTCTGCACCAGGAATATCCCCTGTTGAGCAATAACATTGGGTCAATTGTAGACTAAATGATCATTATGGAACATTGAAACAGAAAGCTGACAGTGTATATGATGAACTCACATGTGCTATATTAACAAAGTCATTTTCTCCCAGGGTGTCTAGTAGTGACTTTACAGCGACTTTAATCAGTTCAAGCGCCTGGCCAAACACACTTCCACTCCTGTAATATATCATAAAATGCCTTTATTATACATATGTTTATAATTACATTTATAGAATCATATAGGATAATAGTACCTGATACATGATATACATGTATATAATTCTATATATAAAATGATACACAACCTCAAATTATCCTATAAATATTTGTTCTTTAAATAGACTGATAATAATGTCTACATGTATATAATTCTATTCATAAAATAATAAACATGCAAGAACTTAAATTGTTATACTTAAAACATATCTTGTTCGAATAGACAGACAAGTTTTTTATTTCTTATCTTATTAACAGAAGTAATTCTATTTTAGGCAGATCTTTATTCAAAACTGGTACCATTATTTTTTTATATATTACAATCTAACAAGAAATTCTAAAATCAGATATAACGCAAATAACATCTCATAAATTATACTGAAACAAAAAAGAAACTTTCTCCAAGTTTAAATATGTGTTAGTACAGTTTTTCAATCCTTTTGAAACTCGATTTTTACGTTGAATAAACATATCAGGCTTTTATACGGGGATTAGCTGACCGATTTTGCAAACAAAACGAGTTTTACAAGCTACTACATGTATATAAGTGTGTACATCTAAGTGGTACCCTTGAACAACTGGCACATACTTTGCGCAAATTTCTTTTTTGGTTCAGTATATTTCACATGAGAATAATGTCAAACTTGCAAAATATTATTAACCCCCACCCCTGCACCCCATCCCTTAATACTCCCCACCCCCATCCCTGCACCCCAGTCCTTAATACTACCCACCCCCATCCCTGCAACCCATTCCTTAATACTCCCCACCCCCATTCCTGCACCCCATCCCTTAATACTCCCCACCCCCATCCCTGCACCCCATCCCTAAATACTCCCTACCAATCCCTGCACCCCATCCCTTAATTTTTATTAATTATTTTTTATTTATTTCAGAACTATTCTAATTTACACACTATTTTAAGACACATGTATAGTGGATTATCAGATTCTACATTTGAAAGCAATTAAATAATTTAATCATAACATAATGTAGTGGAACACCTATAAAAAAATAGTACATTAACATTCCAGTGTAAGTACTTCCAGTTTTATAGCTTAAGATACAATGTACAGCAGGAAGAAATAATATACACCTACGTATCTATCAAAATCAACATATCTTTTGGAGAACTCGACCCCTGGGTATACCTGTAATATAAGAATTGATAATATTTCATTTCATCAACAGTTACTGTAATTTTATCAATTCTCTAAATGGTGTTCAGGATGACATATTGCCTATATTGTACAGAAGTAGGCCAAAATACTTTAGTAAATTTAAGTAAGACATAAAGTTTGAAACTTAATAAACATTTTTAAAACATATGATGCAAATATGAGCCGCGTCACGACAAAACCAACATAATTTGTTTGCGACCAGCATGGATCCAGACCAGCCTGCACATCCGCACAGTCTGATCAGGATCCATGCTGTTCGCTATCAGTTTCTCTACTTGTAATAGAGTTGGTAACCAAACAGCATGGATCCTGATCAGACTACGCAGGCTGGTCTGGATCCATGCTGGTCGCAAACCCATTATGTTGGTTTTGGCGTGACGTGGCTCATATGTTTAGCTCTAAACCCCCCTGGCAGCAACTGATTCTACCCATACTTCTAGTGCAGACCAAGGTCAGCTGACAAGTCTGTGAGGTATGATTATAGTCTACCCTGTTTGTTATTCAGAAAGTAAATATTTTGAAATTTTTCGTTAAAAAAGGATGAATAATTTTGTCCAGAATGAAATATGGAGAAGTCAATTAAATATATCTAACATGGTAAAAGGTAAATATTGAAATTCCTTAAACCAACAATGGGCAAAAAGTAAAACATACGTTTAGGAAGGCAATATTTAAATAAAATTATATAAGTAAAATATCAACATTTACAATTAGTTTTAACAATTTAAGTATCTCACAAAAAAAAACATTTCAAGGCAGTCTGTATTATTCAAAGCTTATTGGTTTAATACATACAGACTTATTTTGTATTATGATCGTGTATCTTCAAAAGTTCAGTCACATTAAGCATTTCACACTGTATTTATTTGGAGAGAAATAAATGGTTTTTAAGACGTTTATTTTGTTCACAGGTAGGAAATCTGGGGGGAAATTACAGCATTTTTTTTCAAAATGGGAAGAAAAAACATTATGTTAATTGAATTTTAGGGGGAAACTGCATGATTTAAAGGATTTTTTTCCTTTGGATAACTGCCCGAAAACAACCCCTGCCATGACCAGAAAATAAGCCATGCCCATACAAAATTTTACCTGGTATTTGTAACATTTTATGATATGCCAACACTTTTATTATTTTTTTACAATATTGTTCATAAAAAGCCATGGCTACATCCAAGGATTCCAGATGTTTCACTGAAAATACTGAGGATAATTTGCTTTTACAAAAAGTCATGTACAATGGTATTCTTCAAGGATTACTGATAATTTTCATTTTGAAATTTTTTTTATATGTATAAAAAGTTATTAAAAACACAATTTCTCAACAGTTCTATATCAAAAGCACTCTTTAATAGTCTGCTTTCCTGTAATGGATATAAGAAAGCAGTTAAAACTTACCATGGTCTACGCCGAACGTCGTATAAATCAACTTCATCACCGGTTTCCCATCTGCTTGCTGCAAGATCAGACAGTATATCATTAAGGTACCACTTACAGCTGCGAACACTAGACATTTTAAACATTTATTCTATATTAAAACATAAATCATGTCTGCTTTTTGGACAGACTGAATTTCAAAGAGAGAAAGATAAAATGATCAATATTGAAAATCAGTCTTGAAGTCTTATTCAAGTATATTCTTTCCATTCAGAATATATGATTATGTATAATCTACAGTATATGATGCAAAGTAAGAATATGCCAATTTTTACAATCAGGGGCCATAACTGGCTTAATCTTTAATTAATTTTGCAACAAATTACCAACAAAATTACCAACATGCGTACATTCACATGATGAAAAATATTCTTAGAAAGTTTCATGGCCCTAGCTGTTGTCGGAGATAATGCTTCACATGTATAGAAATGCTTTTAAAGCTAAATCAGGGGCTATAACTCTGTCTGCCTTCAATACATTTGCGACAACTTAACCATGTCTGTAAATTCACACCCTGACAAATAATTGGTACATGTGTCACAGTTTTTTTATTTTAAAGGGATATTCAGGCAAATTAATGACAAAAATATTAAAATGATCTTTTGTACTCAACTCGCGCTAAAATGACATTTCTAAAAGTTTCAGCATAAATTTCTGTTTAAATTCTATATATTTTGGATTTGAAGCATAAATATATCTATATATGTTGAGCAAAATTTAGACGCCAATAGAATCACCGAATAGTTTTAAAACAAGTCAGGTGACTTGAACAAATCCTTAAAGTTACATTAACAGATACTGTGGATATTGTATGATTAAAACAAGTCAAAATCATTCATTTGACATGTTCGTTAACGTTTTCAGAGTTCACTGTGACAACTATTGTGAAATCCTAGCGCTCTAACCTGACCCACGCGGGTCAGGTTAGGAAAGCACCATTTTATTCTATATATGGAGAAAAGTTTTGTTCCTTTCACTGTCTAATATATTCATTTTGAGGGCAATCACAGAATAAGGAATGAATAATTCAAAACTAAGAAATGAAAATTTTGCCTGTGTCTCCCTTTAATATTGAAACCCCTTTGATATGTATAGACTGCTCCTAATTCATTTTAGCATATAAAAATTTAGACCACAAATTCAGCTGTTAAGTGTTATTGGAGACAAAAACTTGGCCTATGTCATAAGTCAATTGCATAAATTTTGTAAAGCAAATGTTGATATCATTTTGTGTGGTTGCAATAAGACAGTAGAGGTCATATGGCGACTTTTCACATTTACTGGTGGAGGAAGACAGGTTACAGGTTTCCCTCATGGTATTTTTTCAGGAATAACCAGGCATCTGAGTAGAACCACTAACTTTACATATGCATGGAAAGAATCTAAGTCCCTTGTGGGATTTTAACTTAAAGTGGTGAGGGGCAAGTGGTTTAAAGTCAACAACATCTGCCATAATAATTTCAGCCACGGGCTACTCTTAGAAATGTTAAATAACCTAACCACATAATTATGCATGTAAAAACAGTCATATCTGATAACAGCTAAGTAAACCACTTTACCAGGTAGGGTTCGCATAAAACCACTCTGGCTACCAAAGTATTGCCACAGTATCTCAGGATCCTTTTTATAATTCTCAGTGAAAACCTTGTCCAGAGCTGCTGACCACTGCAGACCATTCAGTATCTCAACATCTGAAAAACGCCAACACATTTTACATGATAAAAGACTGGTAAAATAAGTCTTGTGAATACAGAAAAACTCAAACAATATAAAACATAACCAATATTTAATATTCTCTGCAAAACGATCATCTTGCGATGAGAAAAACAACATTTGAAGTTAATTTTACACCAACATTTTTTATTTTTCTCTATTTATAACAGGAAACTATGGATAAAAGTTCAGGGTTATATATGTCCTGTTAAGATACAAGTAGTTATCATTGTATAAGAGGTAAACCCAACCCCTGCTGACTTTTTTAAATGGACTTTCCCAGCTTCCATTTTTGGGACTGTCATCAATTTCTAAGAAGTCAAAATTAAAATTTAGAAGTGTAGAGCCTGGTCAGGCTGCAGGGATGTGCAGGCTGGCCTAGCCCATTACAAACGGCAACCTCGGGCAGTCTATTTTGGTTTAACTGACAGATAAAGGTTAATGCCATCTTGTAGAAGATCTAATTGTAGATTGAATCAACACAATAAAGTGTCTAGAACCTCAAACACTCTTCATTATCCCCAGTTAATGAACATTTCTTTTTATTTATTGACTAAATATTTCCCTTACAAGTTATATACTACTGTTTATAGTGACAACAAATATCTTTTATATCACGTTTCTTTATTGACTTCAACATCCCCCAGATATTATCTTTTTATATTGACAATATAATCCCTTATTTATTACCTTTTTTTATTTTCATCAAATTTCCTTAGATATCACTATTTTATATTGACAACAAATGTCCTTAGATAATAACTTTTTATATTGACAACTCAGATTGTCAGTAGTAGTGTTAGTAGTTTACACTCCTGATCATGGCAGTAAGCCACTTTGAATTCACCAGAGCACAGTTCAGCCACCGCATTGTTCCTGGGAAGGCTGTTAAGCAGTTTACCAGTACTAGTAGCTTCATTTTTGTTAAGGAACTGATCAATTCTGTACATGCCTGACCAGAAGTACATTGCGAATGACCATAGAAAGGATTTCATGATAAACCACATGAGAGTGACCTGTGCCATCCAGGAATTGAACCTGATATTGCCTAATTTACAGTTCAATACTCTACCTATTGAGCTAACTGGACGGTGACAGCTTAGATACATTGTATGATCCTACCTTTTTACATTCACACATTATCACATACATAATTATTACCTTTTTAGAATGACAATATAATGGATTAGATTTAACTTTAAATTGGCAACATATTCAATTTATATTGAAATCCTAACATTTAATATTATAGAATTACATCATTCAATTTACTGTATATATGCCATGCCTTACACATAAAATATTTATATGTTACTAAATACAACATCAATTTTTAAATTATTATACATTCACATGTATAAATAATGTACATGTATATGAGATAAGCAGGGGAGATAAGCATGTTTTTGCTTTAAGCAACTAAACACATGATTGCAACAAATTATGGGTGAAAACTTAAAAACTCATAGATATATGACAGTGCAGTTTGGGGAAATTTAAATCAAACATAATACTTTAAACTTAAAAAAACAATATCTTACAGAATAAATTTCAATTTCAATATTTTCCTATTAATTTTGTGAAAGAGATTTGGAATGATGTACATTAAAACTTCAGACATGAATAAAAAGTCTCATTAAAAAAAAAAACGAAAAAAAATTTCCCCAAAATTAAAAAAAAATAATCCTGAACAGCTGCATAAAAAAAATATCAAAATTGAACTATTCTGACAAGTTTCTTAAAAGGAAAGGAGGGTAATATAAATAAAAACTTTTAAGTCATGTACAAAATACAGTTTGTAGTTCTTTCCCAAAATTTCTCAAATTTCCTGAACTGCCACATAATATTTCCTTTTTTCCAAAAGAGCAGGAAAAGCTGCTGAAAAATTCCCATATCAAATTGTGCACTTAAGCTCTGATATTCAAACAGCATGAAGAACATGTTAATATGACCAGCCACATCTCATCTGAATGAAGGATATATTACCATGACATTTAATCAAATAACAGCACTGGGACTTGTTTTATCTAATTAGCAAAATTGTCATTTTTCATGAATATGGCAATATGATATTTAAATTTTTCATAACTTTGCAATACATGTAATTTCTCTAAAACTAACAATTTTTAGGGATTAAGTGTATAGCTTTAAAAATATTTGACATTTCAAAGAACAAAATTTTGGATACTTATTACAAGATGTTGACATTACCTCCCCTTACATAAAACACTCGAGCAAAGATTACTTCCCTTTAATAATAACATTTACATAGAAAACGTCTATAAAAAGGTTATGTAAATCATCTAATTCGCAAGCTAATTTCACATTCAAGCTCAAAGGTGCGATCAATATCTACTTATTTACATATCAAAGAACTCTACTACAGTTCTTTTAAAAATACATACATCTACATGTACTTATATATACGCAGCAAATTAAACACGAGGGTTTTATTCTATTTTTACTACAAACAATAACTGTGTTGATAAAAGGAAAGCTAGAAAACCAACAAGATATTCTGCGTTGTCGCCAAAAAATATAAATAATTGTCAATCTGGTTTAACTGGTTTTTAAAATAAAGATTTTCATACTATTTTACGACCATGAAAGTATCCCAAGGGTCTATTTTGTTCTCCCAGTATTATGGAGATAAAAATCTATTTTCTTTAGAAAAAAAAGGAGCCTTGCATAATATGATAAAGAATGTGCCAATACTGAATTGCTGATGGGCACATTAACACTAACATAATGAAACTTTTGTGTATATCAACTTAAGCATGAATAAGTAAACTGACCAAAAAATGTTTACATTTTATATCATCATATAAATGTACAGTAAAAAAGAAATTGGAGAAAAGAAGAAATGTAAGAAAAAAATAAATGCAGTATCTTTAAAGAACTGCTCAGAAAGATTTAACAGCCGTGTGGTTATGAAAAAATGAAAAGACTGGAAATGCTTTCATCATATTTTTTTTTTATTTTTTTTTTTTTAATTTTTTAAATAAATCTTTTTTTTTAAATAAATCAATAAAATTCATATTAAAGCAAGACATTTAGATTAAGAGAACATTTATATCACAGGCTATGTATGCATTATAATTAACTTTTTATTTTTTTATTTTTTTTTTTGCAAAACCCAAAACCAGTTCTTTAACTTTTGAAATTTAACTGAACTGTGCTACGTTGCTAAAGTGATCATATAAAACCAGTAATATTAATTATATGTATGTATTTATATTAAAATAAACCGTAGTTCATGCTTTGGTTGATATACAGTGAGGAATATTTCAGTAATAAATTGTTGATTTTCCGTGGTAGGATTTTTTATCATCACTCTCATGCAATGACATGTTTGTTCTACTGTATATATTACCCCTCGGAATTTTTTCCTTCAACGACCATTGCGGTACTAGTTTGACTATTAAAAGATATCAGCGAAGATAATATGTCAATCGAAAGCAATACTATATGGGTATATATAAGCATACAAAATTGGACACAAAACATTTTCATTGAAAGAATTTTAACTCTATGACTTTTATGTAAAACAAAAATTTTATGTTCTATAATTAAACAAAGAAAAACTTGGAATAAAAGCAAGCCTCAAATGGGTGCACACCTCTTACCAAAATACCCAAACAATACCTAAATACCAGAATACCTCCCTGATAGTGGTAGAAAATTGGTCCTACTCAGATGCCCACTCATGCCTTTTCGGGAATACTGGTGGAGAAAGTCCTTGGGTACACCGACCCCCCTCCCAGACAGGCTGTTGTGGGCATCTGAGTTAGACTGCTAATTTCTTGTAAGCTAGATGGATAGCTTTCTCATATGAAAGAATTAAATGCTCATTTCAAACTAAAATGCACAGCAGTGGCAAAAGGTTTGATATCAAAGGCCTTAACTTCTCAATCATGAAATAATGCAAAAAAGAGCTTATTTTAGTGAAAAACTAGCCACTTTCTCTTTTGATACTTTTTCAACATATTTCTGCCGGCTAAATTTATTATTAATTCTTATTCCAGCTTCCTATATATAGATATTATTCGGCATGCATGGGGTATTCCAGTGTTTTACTAGTGTTCTGGTATGTCGATAAAATTTCAAATTTTTGTTTTTGGAACTATGCAATTTAACATTTTCTTGTGAAAAAAAAAGCTTTATTTAAATGACAAAAGCATTATAGGTACTTCTTTTCTCATTGGTATGGACTTGCACTATGAAGCTTTTCTTGTAAAAAAAAAAATCAAATATAAAGTTGTATCATGTGTGACAAAAATGCAAATAAAATATTTTGTGTCAAAGAAAGTATGCCGTCTTTAATTTGTTCAAGGGATAAGACAGTTATTTCAATAATAGAAAGTAAAGCTTGGCCAGCAAAACTTCTTAACTCTCTGTGTGCTTTCATAACAAAATCAGTATGATCAAAAACAACCAAAATGTAAGAGTTTAGAAACGATTGCCCCTAAAATATTTTTAACCTAAAACTATATATTTTCAAAGTATCTTAACAAATTTTGACAATGTTCATGTAACAAAAATTTTGATTGGTTGTTTAACTTTTTTTGACTCAATGTTGCAATCACTTTGATTGGTTTATTCTAAAAAATTAAAATTATGACATGAGTTTTGATTGGTTAAATAAAGGACTCAAATAATTGCTGATGTAATAAATGTTTTGATTGGCCAAGCTGTACTAAAATTCACTCCTGATCAACACAGTTATCAAACATCAAACAATACATAACACAAGAAACCAACTTGACCAAAAATAAGAAATTTTTGTAATAAATACCAAGGCATATAAATTTATCAATAAATTACCAATTTAAATCATAGACCATTACCCTTTAAAGTATAATGCAATAAGGATGTGTTTGTAAAACACAAAATTCACCTGTCTGTTAATAAACAACAAAGTTTCCTGAACTTTGAAAATATGGCAATAGAGCTGTCATGTACAGAACTGTTCACTAATTAGGAGAGGTATTGTGTATAAGCAGCCTGATAGTTTAATTGGTTTAAACGTACCCAGATAGTCCCACAGAGTCCAGTCCTGGTCAGACTGCACATTTTTCTCACCCAGTGGCACAATGTTACATTTCAATACATTAAATTGAAGCTCATGTCCATAGATATAATATGTTTAATTGAATAAGTTAAAGTATAAAGGCTTTAGCCTATATCATAAAAATCTCATGGTTATGGCTGAAGTCAAAGTTTACCCCACAGACACAAATGCAACTTAACTATTGCTGTGGGTAAACAACTATAACACTAGACATCTATTCTGAAGTTCAGAAGTAAACATATATTTCATGTCTCATATTTGAAGCCAATGCATTATGAAAGCTTTGACACACCAACTTAATGGTACCTATAGAAATTCATTATTAATGGTGCCAACAAATCAATGAATATCTCCAACTTAAATATTTCACCGTCTCTCTCTTATCAATATTTATACAATGTACCATTACTATCAATATACAGTGTAACCTCAGCAAAGTGACCCTCTGTACAGCAATAACCTCTTTATAACAAATGAATTAAATATTCACCTAAACTAATACTAAACACTGAATTTAACCTCTCTTGAACAATAACCTCTAAACAAAAGCCAATATTTCCCTCCCAAAGGGTGTTGCTCTGCATAGGTTCTACTGTATTTTTAAAATTCAGCATACATGTACAAATATACCAAGTAATTCAAACTAATCTGACCTATATTAATTGCCTATCAAATAAGTAAAAAAATGGTCTACCTCCATCATAGATCTCGACAGGAATGTGAATGCTGGAAACATTTGGAATGATCTTCTGTTTGAACCTCTCACTGTATACAAGGCCAGTATTGTTAGGCAGTATCTCCTTTGCTTTTAAACATGTGAAGTCCTCTTTCTATACAAATATGAAGAAAATCATTATGATTTAAAATATTTAAAAACAATTCTATCAAAAAATGTGAAGAAATGTAAGCCTCAATGATAAATTTTCGAGGGCTTTGAGCGAAATGAGTGTAACTCACATGACATAAAGAAGGAGGTACAACTTTTTTGCAACAAGTATACAACTTGTTTTTAAAAGGCGTAAAAATATAAATGACAAAAAGTAGTAAACAATTACAATATTTATTAAAAAAAAACACCTTAAAATCATGTTATTTTTAATATTATTTATCTACATGTAATGTCACATCTGAAGTTTAATTAAACAATAAAGTGTTAAAGTACATCAAAAATAACAGAAAATATACAAAACAATGTATACTAACAATATGTTATTTAGCTTTGGAGATGAATTTGTACAAGGAACACCTGCTATATCAGAAAGTTATAATTTATAATAAACATTTATTTTTTCAAATTCAGTACTTTCACATGATGTTTATCAGGATACAAACAAATGTTTGACCAATTATAGTAAGCCCAATAAAGAAACATGATGAGGAAATATAAATCATTCAGATTTTCAAAGATATAAAATAAACATGTATTCATAGTTACCTTTATATTATTATTCCACGTATGATTAGCTGCGGCCTCCTCCGCTGCCCTCACAGAATTCTGAAAATTCATCGTTACAATAATATAATTTTTATTACCCACATTAACCCTAAGCCTGCTAATGGCAACCTATCCTACCCATGCTACCAGTACTGACCAATGCAGACTATAAGCCTGCGCATCCGTGACCTCTAATCATGGTCTTCACTATTCCCTATTCAGTCACTACATATTTTGCAATTTTCCGTTAAAATGATACATTGTTTTGTCCAGATTGAAAGATGGACAAGCTAAATTTAAGATCTACTTATAACTGAATATAAAGCATTAAAAATGGTATCTTGTAATAATTATAATTATATTTGATCTGCTTCTAGTGCCAGTGAGCAAATTTATTTGTTGTCTGAAACACTCAACAAACCTGCATACATATAATTGTATATCTGATCATTTTAATGTACTCCTAATTTGCAATTTCTGAAGCAGAATCCTAAGTATATAATAGCTGACAAAAGATGATGGACCATTTATTAACCTTTTCCATAAGCCAATGTTTATAATAAACTAAAACACCACAAACAAAATGGTTACTTACGTTCAATGCTTCCATCTTAAGTAAGAACATGCTTCTGAGGGAATCTGCGAAATTTTTGACAATGGCATCTGTATCCAATTTTTCAAATTTCAAACTAAATTTTGCATGAGCTTTGTTTTTACTGTCTGTATTATTATACGCCTGAAAACAAAAATAAACAAAACCACTAAGGATGTTTCTAAATTCAAAATTTCACCATTTTCATGTTGTAATAAGCCGGTGCTAGGGGCCAGTACAGTAAATTGCATTTTTCAGTACTGTTAAAAAAAAACGGCTCAATCAAACCAACCCTTCAACATTTTCAATTTTGTCGTTTTGGGCATTATTTAGGGATTCTGTTTTTCTCTATTTTATACAAGTACATACTCATAAAATGTTTGCCTTTCACAATAAGAAATTCAATATTATACTCCCTTAAGAAAATTCAACACACATCTTAGATGGATAATGGTTAAGGGTCATCAACTATGACAACCTTACTAACATGACCACCTGTACTAAGGGAACTGACAATGTTTATACTTACAGCAACAACCGTGTCAGATGCTGTAACTGTGTTAAATCGTCCCACCAATGTTCGAGACAAATTTTCAACCAAATTTTCTAGCCTGAAAACAAAAAAGAGCAAATTTATACATTCAGCATGATTTTACCATATATTCAAATAAACCCTTCCAAGATTCAAGCACTAAACGGCATTTTCACTTTAGAACAGTATTACAAGTGATATTCTGTGAAGTTTTGTAAATTTTTTATTTTTGGTATAATTTCTTACAATGTAGTATAGGGACACAATCAGGTCACATGTCAATATAGGGCACCATCAGGTCATATGTCAATATAGGGCACCATCAGGTCACATGTCAATATAGGGACACAATCAGGTCACATGTCAATATAGGGCACCATCAGGTCACATGTCAATATAGGGACACAATCAGGTCACATGTCAATATAGGGACACAATCAGGTCACATGTCAATATAGGGCACCATCAGGTCATATGTCAATGTAGGACATAATCAGGTCACCTGTCAATATATGGCACAATAAAGTCACATGTCAATATAGGGCATAATCAGGTCACATATCGATCAATATAGGGCACAATCAGGTCACATGTCAAAATAGGTCACAATCAGGTCACATGTCAATATATGGCATCATCAGGTCACACATGTCAATCAATATAGGGCACAATCAGGTCACATGTCAATATATGGCATCATCAGGTCACACATGTCAATATAGGGACACAATCAGGTCACATGTCAATATAGGGCACCATCAGGTCATATGTCAATATAGGGCATAATTGGGTCACATGTTAATATAGAGCATAATCAGGTCACATATCAATCAATATAGGGCACAATCAGGTCACATGTCAAAATAGGTCACAATCAGGTCACATGTCAATATATGGCATCATCAGGTCACACATGTCAATCAATATAGGGCACAATCAGGTCACATGTCAATATATGGCATCATCAGGTCACATGTCAATATAGGGACATAATCAGGTCACCTGTCAATATAGGGCACCATCAGGTCATATGTCAATGTAGGGCATAATCAGGTCACCTGTCAATATATGGCACAATCAAGTCACATGTCAATATAGGGCATAACCAGGTCACATGTCAAGATAGGGCAAAATCAGGTCACATGTCAATATAGGGCATAATTGGGTCACATGTTAATATAGAGCATAATCAGGTCACATATCAATCAATATAGGGCACAATCAGGTCACATGTCAATATATGGCATCATCAGGTCACATGTCAATATAGGGACACAATCAGGTCATATGTCAATATAGGGCACCATCAGGTCACATGTCAATATAGGGACACAATCAGGTCACATGTCAATATAGGGCACCATCAGGTCATATGTCAATATAGGACATAATCAGGTCACCTGTCAATATATGGCACAATAAAGTCACATGTCAATATAGGGCATAATCAGGTCACATATCGATCATATAGGGCACAATCAGGTCACATGTCAAAATAGGTCACAATCAGGTCACATGTCAATATATGGCATCATCAGGTCACACATGTCAATCAATATAGGGCACAATCAGGTCACATGTCAATATATGGCATCATCAGGTCACACATGTCAATCAATATAGGGCATAATCAGGTCATATGTCAATATAGTGCACCATCAGGTCACATGTCAGTATAGGGCATAATCAGGTCACATATCAATATAGGGCATAATCAGGTCACATGTCAGTATAGGGCATAACCAGGTCACATGTCAATATAGTGCATAATCAGGTCACATGTCAATATAGGGCATAATCAGGTCACATGTCAATATAGTGCAACATCAGGTCACATGTCACTATAGGGCATAATCAGGTCACATATCAATATAGGGCATAATCAGGTCACATGTCAGTATAGGGCATAACCAGGTCACATGTCAATATAGTGCACCATCAGGTCACATGTCACTATAGGGCATAACCAGGTCACATATCAATATAGAGCATAATCAGGTCACATGTCAGTATAGGGCATAATCAGGTCACATGTCAATATAGTGCACCATCAGGTCACATGTCACTATAGGGCATAACCAGGTCACATATCAATATAGGGCATAATCAGGTCACATGTCAGTATAGGGCATAATCAGGTCACATGTCAATATAGTGCACCATCAGGTCACATGTCACTATAGAGCATAATCAGGTCATATGTCACTATAGGGCATAATCAGGTCATATGGCAATATATGGCATAATCAGGTCACATGTCAATATAGTGCACCATCAGGTCACATGTCACTATAGGGCATTATCAGGTCACATGTCAATATAGGGCATAATCAGGTCATAAAAAAATATATATATATATAAAACTTGCAGAGTCAAAAAGATTATAGATGTAGATGGGGGAATTTATACAATGCTAAAATTAATAATACATTTCCATTTCAATTTTTTAATTTTAAAAAATCTAAAACCATTTGTGGTACATTTATATGTATGTAGCTTTAAAGGAATTTTCTGACAACACTCTGAAGTGTTTGACCATTTTAACATCAAATTTTAACTTCCGAATTATTTTTTAGCTCGACTATTCGATAAGAATAATTAGAGCTATTGTAGTCACCCGAGCGTCGGTGTCGGCATCTGCGTCGGCGTAACCACTTATGTTAAAGTTTTTGTAATAGTTCAACTATTTTCAAAGTCCATTGACATATGGCTTTGAAACTTTGCACACTTGTTCACCATCATGACACCAACCTGTAGACAGGAGGAGGTAACTCTATCAAGCATTTTGACAGAATTATGCCCCTTTTTTTGACTTAGAATTTACGTTAAATTTTTTGTAATAGTTCAAATATTATCAAAGTCCATTGACATATGGCTTTGAAACTTTGCACACTTGTTCACCATCATGACCCCAACCTGTAGACAGGAGGAGGTAACTCTATCAAGCACTTTGACAGAATTATGCCCCTTTTTCGACTTAGAATTTATGTTAAAGTTTTTGTAATAGTTCAAATATTTTCAAAGTCCATTGACATATGGCTTTGAAACTTTGCACACTTGTTCACCATCATCACCCCAACCTGTAGACAGGAGGAGGTAACTCTATCAAGCACTTTGACAGAATTATGCCCCTTTTTCGACTTAAAATTTACCTTAAAGTTGATGGTTATCTCACAAAATGTTTAACCTTAGTTACAAACTGAAGAGCCTGTAGCTATGAAAGATGAAGAACCTAACTAGCAACCCCATTTCTGACATCTGACCAAGCTGAAACTCTACTGTTGGTTAATTAAGTGACTTCAAAATCTTAATTTGATTGATAATGAACTAAAGGCTATTCTACCATTCCAGCAGTTTATGCAGGGGTGTCAAAATTAATTTTTTGTTTTGCTTAGGTTGTCCCACAGCCTCATGTTCATTGCATACAAGTCAAAATTTTCCAGAATTTACTTTATAAATATCAAACAAACAATAAAGAAACTGTTTCAGATAAAACAGAAAAGTAACTCAAAATCAAATTTCACTAGCCATGTAATAGGTTTAACTTAAAATATTAAATATATCCAAAAGAAGTACATTTATACTGAAATATAGTGTAATTATTTTTTTTTTCCTAATTAACTAATTTGTAGTATCAAGACAAGAGACTGTTATGACATAATTCTGCAGGGATTTGTATCACATGGCACATAAATGACAACCTATTTTCTCTAGTATTACATACATGTGTATTCTTCTATACATGTACAAATACATGTATATATGATTATATCTTGATAACAACACAGACAGTTTAATCCCTTAAAACTGCCTCCTTCCAAATATTTGACATTCTAAAGTCATTTTTCTTAATTAAACAATGTCCTATACAGAAAATGTGTACCAGAATCAATACTGGTGTATATTAGTATGGGAAAACTACAGGCAGGCTGGCAAGAGATCAATATCAGCCTGGCATTATAAGTATTGCGTAATCAATGCCATGTGTCAGCTAGAGGGAATTGGTTTTAATTAATGCCGTGCTATCGGTACCTTGCTGATAATCAGGAGTATGGGAATCAATCATGCATGATCAGTTATAATTATAAGCCCCTTATTACATCATAAATCATTAATGATATGATATGAAATTTATTTGTTAGTTCACAATTTATGCAAGGTACATGTAATGTCTAGTAAATATGTAAAATTTAAATCTTTTATCAAAATTGACATCATGATGCTTGCTTTTTTTTTTTTTATTGCGTGGGTGGGGGGATAGGTACAGGGAAATGAATATCAGTATGAAACTCTGACCATGTCAACTGAGTTTTAAAGATATACATTTACATGTATTATGCTCATATTTGATATTTAAAAAAACCCTGATAATTACTATACAGTCTTTTTTTAATGTAAAATTAACATCTTTTGAATAGAAACAGACTGAAAGAAAATATGTTACGTTTTAAACTTCACACATGCAGCTTCCCAAACATAGTTTACACATTCATTTATTCAAATTAGACATATACCGGAAGAATTTACAACATTTCAATAAATTTCTAAAATAAAAGTATTCTGCCCAAAAATAAACATAGTAAATCTTTAACTGAATAGTTCAGCATCAAACATGAAAGGTGCTAATTTAATTATGTAACATTTTTTTTGTTCAGCAATAATCTGCAAGATTATAAATGTTTTGCAGTATATTCACGAACTTGATAAAGACAAATATTTTAAAACTCTAATAAAAAACAAAAATGTTGGTAGCTATCAAAGTGGCTAGTATAAATCATAACTTACAACATTGTAAGGATTTTTTTCTTTTCCTTATCTTTTGTTAAATTGTAGATCTCTTTATAAAATTCATTTAGGAACTCCTTATCTGAATTTGTGTTGTCCCAAACAGTAAGTCAACTTTAACATGGTGATATACATTCTTGCTCTCTATGTTAAACAATATGGTTCTATTTATGATATTTTAAATTGAACAAAATACAACCTAGTAGCCATTCTGAAAGGCAGGGTACAGTATTTTCTGGGGCACAGATCAGTTTTTCTTTGACATAAAAAGAGGGACATGGTCAATTATTACAGTCTATGCATATAAATGTGTATGGATAATACATCAGAGGGCATAATTTGCTATTTTTAGTTTAGGCAAAGTGGAGAACATGCTGCAGTTTTTAAAAAAAAACCAAAAAACAAAAAAAAAAAACAGTTGGTAAGAAATGTGCCAGAGCAATTTTTTAAGATAAAATGGGATTTTTATTTTTTATTGTTTAATAAAAGTTTCATAAAAATTAAACTTCTCAAACACATGAAAATCAATTCAAGTGCTTATCAATATTTTGTTGAATTTTCAACAATTCCAAAATAAACAGTTGCTTAGTTTTAAATTACTTTTTATAAATGTAACATATTGCAGTATGATTTGCTGTATGGTTGACTGAATCTTTTTATTATGGCATCAAACAATTGGTGTTGACTCAATAACCATATTATGGCATCCAGCAATTGGTGTTGACTCATAACCATATTATGGCATCCAGCAATTGGTGTTGACTCAATCACCATATTATGGCATCCAGCAATTGGTGTTGACTCAATCACCATATTGTGGCATCCAGCAATTGGTGTTGACTCAATCACCATATTGTGGCATCCAGCAATTGGTGTTGACTCAATCACCATATTGTGGCATCCAGCAATTGGTGTTGACTCAATCACCATATTGTGGCATCCAGCAATAGGGTTGACTGAATGTAACCAGGACATTTTTCAGATGTTTGGAGCTGTTTTTGGAGGCTGTAACCGATTCATCATAGTTACGCTTTCTGTTAAGTTTTAAACTTAGCCATGAGGCCGATTTCTAGTTTTCGTTTGACAGGTATTACGATTGAAAATGCGTCTACAGTTGGACTGTTTATCTAATAACTTCAATTATAAATGTTAAGAGAAATATCGTATGGATCAAGAGAACCTTACTCGCTCTGCCGGAAGAGTTTGATCAACTTTTTATGACCCTACTAAATTTTTACTTGCAAATTATGCGAGCAAGTGGATTTGTCAAGGCCTGACGCAATTTAATATTGTGACAGGACAGGTACGATGAAGACAACGCCGTAAGAAAGTACACCTTTAATTGTGCCAGGAATCTGGTAAGCTTGTATTCATTCATGAATCACTCCGTAGAGTAAAATAGGCATATAACGATATATATTCTATTAATAAGCTAAGTTTCAACATATAAAAAGCAAATTTCTAAAATAAACTACCTAATAATTTAGGTGAAAGTATTCAGCACTTCGCCGAATTTACATACATGTGACCTTTTTTCCGATGATCAAGTGAGAGTTTTTTCTTAAAAAAGAGGGAGATTTTAGAATTTGCATTAAACAAAGAAGAAAGTTCTGATATCAAAAAGGAGATATTTTTTTTATTTGTGAAAATACCACTTATCTTAAGAAATATCTTTGAAAATATGGCTGAAGAAAGCGGGAGTCTCCCGCTAAGTGGGAAGGTTCACATGAATGCCAAAATGTTTGATCACATGACTACATGATAACTAAATTGACCTTTACAGGTTAACCTAAATATATATTTAGAACCGCTAAATTTTACAAATTCAATACTTTTCCCCCCAAAAGTTATAAAATGTAATTTGCTGAATTATGTTCTACCACTTTGTTTAAGTACCAAAAAATAAAACAGACTTCATGAAATACGTCAGTCAGAAGGACATGTCCGATAAATTTTGATTAGGTCTGACAATTTTTTATTCCTGATCTGTCCGACCGTCCGGCTTTTATCCAAGTCGCATGTATACAAAATGGCATCATTTAAGGTGCCAAAACGGGAAAAAAACTGAAAATCTATGTCAGAGGAGCGCGCAGAACAGCATTAAAAGAATGAAAAGAATAGACCCGAGACAAAATTTAATGAAAACTGGAAGCAGGACCATGAATCGATGGTGTATGACAGGGAGGTGGTGAAAATGCGCTGTACAAAATGTACCCATTTTTACAGTGAAAAATTAAAACCGAAAAGTGTCTTAGAAATACAGTTTTCCTTTGATTTTGATTAACTTTCATTCAGTCTGACAGATTTGTTTCGGTCTGACAGATTTTCATGGTTTGTCAGACGGAATGTCTGACACTTTTTTTTTAACTTTCAGAAAGTCTGTAAAAGTAAATAAAAATGAAACCTTGCATTTGTATAGAAATTTTGTCACATGTCCACAAAGATGTTCTAAATATAGTACATGCCAGTAATCTTAGGAGTTCCCACGAATAACCTCACAAAAGGCATGACTCCTAACTGTCATGGTCAACATCAGCTTGTTATACATTAATTGATGTCCAGCAGTATAATAATTAATATATAATTGCAATATTACTGACAGTTTAAAAACTTTAAATTGTCTAGAACTATATTGAAATGATTGCTTTATCGGATGAATGCACAAGAATTAATAAGGAAAAGGATATTTGCAAATTAAAAGAAGATTTTTATTGTTGGTCTTATTGAAGTGATTCTGTTTAGGTAAGCTATGTTAGGTTAGGGCCGTTCAAGCGTGGGCAGCTTCTCCAAAGAAAATAATTTTAAAATCATGCAGTTTTCCCAAAAATTGAATTGACAAGAAGTTTATTTCTTCCCCTTTCACAAAATTACTTTATTATTTCCCTTCCTGGCACATTATTTAAAATTAGGGTTGGGTAGGTATGAAGGAAAAAAAATTTTGTGTGCATAATAATGAATTATCTGCATATATGTATAATGAACTATTAAAATTAATTTATTAAGTGCAAAAGTATATGTTCATGCATTACCATATTCACAACTGACCATCGTCTATATAAAAAAAGCCCTAAAGCGCACAATTTGTTGGGCTACTATATATTGTACTCCGAAAGAAAAAAAATACTTACATCCCCTAAGAACCTGAAAAAAAAACTTTTGGGTAGGGACAAACTTGTTGGGGAGGAAGGGAAGGGGAAACAAATTATATCTTATTTTACTTTTAGGCCCAATCAAGTTCTATAAATTATTTCAAATTTGTAAACAATACTACTTTCACTTACAGAGACTAGACTCTTTAAATAAATTGCTCAACAACGTAATTACTTATTGCAATACAGATTTGTTAATTGTATACCAACGAATGTAAAATACATTCATCATATCAAAAAGGCAATCGAATAAGAATAGCTGTCACCTTAATAATGTTATGAGTTAGAATAGACGTTCAGTCAAAATGGACAAGCTCTTTGACTATTCAGTTTAATGAGAAAACTTACTGTGCTTTTTTCGGCAGTCCCTCTGTATCCACAAAATATAAAGAGTTCAATGAAAACAATAAAAATAATAAATAAGATCCATAGATTGGTTTGTGGTCCGCCATTTTGGATTCATCGACTGCTGAAGCCTCGTTTTCAAATATTTTAAAACCACGAACTGCAACTCTGAAAAGAAAAAGCCAAGTTACGCATGACAGGAAGAGTTGTCGTTCTTATTTAAATAAATAAGCCAAATTATGAAATGTAATAAATATTGTAAATCAAACTACGGACTGTAATGTAATTCAAACTTATTTCACATCTTGTAACCAAATTTGACGATTGAACTTGCGGCAATTGAACTATGGCATGATGTATTCTTCAAGTTTTTTATTTTTTTTTTCATTTTCAAAGTTCAAAAAGAAAATGATATAAAATCCATACTCAGTAGGCCGATCAGACTCGAAATAATGTGCCGGTTTACACAGGTTATTTTTCTACATATTGTAGGGCCTATCTTTTGACAATGTTATTCTAATTACATAGAGGATGAAATTCATTTTTCGAGATGAACACAGAACAGAAATGAGTTGTTTGATCAGATTGAAAGTTCAAGCAAATATTTATAAAGTTAATGTCCTTGGAAGATCTCATTATATTTCAACATAATAGCTTACCACTGATAAACCCTCTACAACTAACCAGGGTCTTTCAAATAGAATTTGAAAGACCCTAAATTACCACATATATATTATTTTTTATTTAACTTTTTGAATTTTCTTAGTGGCTTCACGTGCCGACATTCTTCGCCCCCGTCTTTTTTTTTGTTGATCTTATTTTTTACTGTGATTCTATGTCATGTTACTAGATTCATGATTAATAATCTATTCTATTCTTTATTTTTTTGTAAAACCAAGCATTCAATCTTCGTCTGCAACGAATGTGTTTTTTTCTTTCTTTCGGTGACGTCGAAATAAGCGATTTAACCAGCCAATCCATTCCAAAATCACCTTGAAAATTAAGAAATTTTAGTCGATGGTTCACCATTCACTGCTGAGTACAATACAGATTTTATTGGACTCATACACAACTGCAAAATCTATATAAGACCGGGCCAGCGCAGCTGTGTACTCGTCCAACTATTCTTGTTTTCTACAGTGCCTTGTTAAAATTCAGAGGCCATTCCTTACAATAAACTATTGTAAAACTAAATACCCCAAATACCGGAGTAGGTCTACCCTGGGACCAAAAATAGTTTTGGTCCAAAGTCTACCATTAAAAAGCAATTAAAACAGAGGTTAAATTACGATTATGAAAATCGTTTTTCATCTGTTCCAATTATTAATTATTTTGTCAAGATAAGAAAAAAAAGAAGAAAAAAATCAGTTCTAATAATTTTATTTTCAACACGGTGTAAACTTCTCCTGCAATATTGAAACGATAAATATTGTCGTTCGCATGGAACAAGATTATTTTGTATAGCAGAGTGTTTGAACTGTAAACAAGCAAAATTTATTTCTTCTAATTAGCTATATCTGAAGACGGAAAAAAAATTAATACAATCTAAAATAGAATTTAAATTAAACATCGGCAAATAATATAAACATAAAAATGAACGGGCCAGTATTATTAACTAGTGCTAATCATGGCAAACATGTTGTAAGGATTGTTAAGTTTTGATAAAAAGCTATTTTGTATTTTGTAATAACACAGATTAATACATTTTCGCAGTGTCTCTAGCTGTATGGCTTGTGAAGAGTGATATTGCCATTGTTTTTGAAAACATTGGGATATCAAGCCTTGCAAGAATTTCATCTCGGTAGCGTTGGACATTCAACTTCCCTTCGAAAACGACGAGAGACGAGCTAAGTGCGAAAGCCATGTGCAATGTCTGCCCAGACCAAGATACCCCCCCCCCCCCCAAAAAAAAAACAACAAAAAAAAACACGGTAAAAACATACGGTCGACATCCATGTGGCGCAGGCGATTGCGCACAGTTGGGCAGGTTGTTAATGTGTACCAGGGGTGGCAGCTGCAGCTGTGGCAATTTGGAAACGGATGCGCAGGTGGGTGTTCCGAATATAGAGGTCTTGGGCACGTGTCGTGGATGTCCACTACGTAACCAAACTTCTTTTTTTCATTCTGTTGCTTGAAAACGTTGCCTAAGGTGTCGAATAGCAAGAGTAGAAGATACAATAGTCATTGCGACGGCATTCATTGTCATACCAGCATTTATTTCGACGTCTTTTTCATATTGGTATGAAAGTCTATAAAATTACTCTGAAAGGTTTACAATATACACAAATCTACTGGTCCATGCCCGCACGTGAAAATCGCGTTCTTGTGAAATTTGTTTTATCGGACACATAATCGTTCGCCCGAATATATATACAGCTCATCTGACATTTTGATTTTTTTCAAAAACATCTAATCTAATGTTAGGAAAAATGGTGAAAATTCGCCGATATATAGACCTTATACTTTTTTTATACAAAAAGTAGCATCTATAGGCTCTTGATAATTAGATATTGTACATGTATTGGTACAGTTATATTCTCTTTCAAATTGACCTGATATAAATAATGGCACAACCAATAGCTGTTTAAGCGTTTTTAGTAAAAATAATTATAAAATATATAAATTGTTATTTAATTTAGACTATGGGTATGTAAATATTTGTATTAATTAAGAATTAATCTACCTCACGGGGGAGGAAGTGTTACACGAAGGATGGAGTTCTTATGATAACTTGTTCAGGAGTTCTTGTGATAACTGTCACGGAGTTCGTCGGAAAACATCTGTATATACCAAAAAAAAACACTCGTCAAAAGTGGTTATTTTCATCGTTCAAAAATGAGTTTTAGGTGCTAAATTAAAATTTAATGATTAAGCTTGTCTTACATCTTGTATTATGTGTCAAAAACTAATACACAGGCCATTTTTAATCGCCTCTTGCTTCAAATCTGGTAGTTTTGAGTAAAATTTCCAAATTATTTGCCAATTCACAAGTTTTGACCGGTTTATTTCTAGTCTTCATCCTTGCCATACATAATTACCTAATTATTATGCAAAATTGCAAACATAAAGCACCGGCTAACAGATTTATACCCGATTTTTCAAATGTCCCGGAGTTCTTGTGATAACACTGAAGATGTCACAGAGTTCTTATGATAACTTTTGTTATTGCCAGTGTGTTTCTTGCGCTAAATCACGGCACGTTTTGGCGTTTATTATCTTTCAATAAGATTGTAAATCATTATGAAATGCAGTACGATCATCCTTTGCACAAAAAATGTGGATAAAACGTTGGATAAGTGTCTGCAAAGGATAAATAGGTGATAGGCTATCATCTACAGTAAAACTTGAACCAGCGTCCACTGATATTCAGCAGTATAATGGCTTAAACCTCAAAACAAAAATGTCTCAAAACGTACACGTTGTTCTCAGCTTCACATGTTTTAAACAACCACCTTTCTTAAGCAGACAATATATAGGCATGCTTCCCTTACCTTAGGGCTAAGTAATTTGCATCATTTATACCATAATAAATAAGTATATAACCAGGATAATTTCCACACGGTCACCCATGTCTTAAATCAAAGCACTGAATGTACTGATGGGGAGGCTATGACAGAATGTTTCAGACTTATAGTTTCTTTTCTTTTTGCTTAAAATGTGCTGTTATTTCAATTATTACCAAAATAAGAAGATATGCACATTGCGCCATTTATCCTTACTGTTGTGTTCAACCATTCATATATATATGGTTTATATGGTTGACTATTCATTTTGTTAATATTCCAGAACATTTCATTGAGGTCTACATTCGGACTGTTAATCATGCAAATTTTGAAAAACCTAAACTGCCATTTATAAATGACATACCAGCAAGTATGACGACTGTTCATTATAAGATCATAATACCATTTTACAACTGACGGTTCCTTATCAAAATATTCTAGGACTGTTCATCATAAATACTTTGTCATTTTAATATCATTGAATGATAATAACAACTGCAAGTTATGCAACATTTTTATTGAACATAAAAAATATACTTATTTACATGTACCATAATTAAGATCAATAAGACACCACTGTCTTGTGATTAGTATTAATATTCATGCTCTACGGACAGAAAGTTTTTGTTGAAACTTCTCCAAATCCCTCCAGAGGCATGCACGTCGCGGAGAAGCTAGGCACACGGCAGGTCAAGGTCAAGTCATCTAAAGTACCAGAGGTGATTGGTTGACCTGTCGAAACTTACTCTGGAGGTTTGGCGCTAATAAATGCCGTTTCTGTTGTCGTCAGTCAGGAAGTTGATGCCTTGACAGTATTGTCGTCTCCTTTACCACTAACGAACGAAGAATGGGCTACCAGGAAGATTCTGCTTGAAAAAGACGTCCCCGATGCTATAATCTCGGACATATGGTTATTCCGGCGCCGAGTATAAATGAACTTAAAACACACACACACTTTTGTTGAAAACAAAACAAAAAAAAAACAACACTTTTTCTGTAGTAATTTTTCAAGTGTTGTAAAATGAATACGAAATTCGTCTTATGCCGCCAATTATTTTTAGAACACAAACATATAAGTTCTTTTTATTTATTATTATTTTTTTAAAGCTTCTTATTCTTTAATATTTTCATGTATCTCATAATCTGTATTGAAAATTTTATTACACATGGACTATCAAATTATGATTCGTTGCCCTAGAATTGAATAAACTTTCTAATTACACAATACGGGGTCATTCATTTGATTGAAGACTGATCTTTGCGTCTTTCTCTGAAATACTATTTCCCTTGTTAAAACATATTTGACCACATATTTCTGTCATTTAACTCTTCACTTTACTTCCGATTTTTGTTTACCGAAACACATGTTTCTATTTGTGTTTTCTATTCGAATCTATAATCAGTTTAATTGGATCACCGCCGGGTAAACGACTACTAGGTATTTTTGTCATGTTTTTTACCCCAAATATTTGAATGTTAGGGATCTGTCAATTGCCAGACACATTTTTAAAAGATACTTTTATGTTAAAAGTTTGATTAATGAATTATGTAATATGAAAATATAAGTATTGCTTTTTTTATTTTGCTAATATAAAATGTAATCTTGCGGTGAAATTTTGTTGAAGAGTCCTTACGGATTTTGT